TTTTTTTTGGTAGTAAAATCTTGGAATTAAGAAAACTAAAAATGCATCAGATTAAAAACATATCTCAATGCAGTGCATTTAAGACTATTAATATGTCTGCTATTCTTTTTCCTTCCAGGTTGCCTTATTTGAGTTAGTATTACTTTTTAAAGCAAGAAATAAAATGAGTTGTTCTAGAAAGATCACAGAACACCTTCAAGAATGGACCTTGCATCTTTCTGTCACCTTGAAATTATCACTGCAAAACCAGATGGGATAACTGGGTACTACGGAGAGGGTATCAACATGACTAAATGCAGTTCAGAAAATGCTCCAAGCACTAAGTAGCCCTGGGTTCTCCTGGATATCCCAGGGCTGCCCCCAAAGTGTAGGTAAACGTTGTTCTCGCTTCATGGTTGCCCTCTGCATTACTCAGTATTTTTAACGAAAGCACAGAGAACTTTTGTATTATGGACACAGCTTCCCCGTTTGAGCACTTAACCTGAAAGATTACCCGTTACGACTAAGAACACGTCTATTTTTAGGACTGTTTCTAGTTAAAGTAATTTTTTATTTTAGAAATGGCAAGAGATAGTTTAAATTGCTGAAAAGCCAACAACTCAGTATTCATTAGCATACTTTGCAGAGACAACTCCTTATTGGTCTTTAATTTTGTATTTAAAATACTAGTTTCATATAAGCTGGCAACAATCAATGCTGAAGCACATTTTACTCTGTTCATAAAACGTGAAATCAAACTTTTACCTCTGTGGCAAGGCTTTGACTGGCACCATTGTCAAGAAGAAACTTAACAACCTCCAGGTGGTTTTCTTGGGCTGCCATATACAGTGGAGTGAAACCATTCTGAAATAGGAAACCAAGAGTGTAAATACTCCACAAACATTTCATACATACCGTATATCTGTCAAACTGAGTAGATTTGGAGGAAACAAAATAAACTGTGTGCTCACATGCCAGTTAATGGCATGATCTCCCCTGATTTAAACGAAGATAGGAGAAGAGTAGTAACATTAAAAGGACACAGTGGAATCTTTCAGCTGTCCAGATACAATTCCCACAGCTAAGCGAGAATACTTCCCTTTACATCTGTTGTTTAGTCAAACTAAAAACCAATCTGGACAGACCATTTGGTAGAGATGAGCTATGATTCCCAATAAATGTAGCCACAGCAACAGAAACACAAAATGGGACAGGTAAACACAACACAAGTCTGTAGCAAAAGCAAGGGCAATGGCTCTTCAGAATACGTTCCAATTTTTTCTCTTCTCTCCATTAGCTTTGACTTCTCTTTCACTTGTGCCAGCTACTTATGCCTTTGTCTCCTCAAAGAGCTGCCTTTTGAGCCGAGCCTGCTTGTGGTCACTGAGCCACTTCATATTTCAGGCACCAGGAGATCTCAGGATCATTGGTTCTCAGTAGTTTGAGACAGAGGTTTATCAGTGTTTCCGATCACATTAGAGCATTTCTCAAATTATGCTTAAGTGAGCGATTTCAATCATTACAATACACATATTAGAGACTGCAGAGCTTAACTCATTCTTTGGCTAGTGCTTTCCTCTTACAGCCAATGCTTTTGTGTTTGCCTTAACTGTATACAGGTCACAGCATTTCAGGAATTGAATTTTTGGGTGCTAACATTAAGACAATGTATTTTTCCTTATTGTTCTATGCATTTCTGAAATTCATAGTTTTGATGTCACTCACAAAACCAAAACAGCAAAATGAAGTCATGAAGCCTGTCCTGGGTTCAAGATACCTCTAAAGGAATTTACAGAAGTTGCTGATGTGCACCTCAAATTGCTTGGCTTTCATACAGCACTGCACATCCCTCAGTCTGACAGAATTGCAAACTACAAAATGTGGTAAACACATTTTATAACTTAAAACACCTATATACTATTGACTGAGCAGTTTGATACTGCTGAAGCAACCAAAGCAGCATCAGCAGTAAGAACAATCCCTTTCTCCTCTGATCTAGCACGATAACATGTTTTTACCCTTCATATTCCAGCATTACTCCATCAGACACATCACTGCTAGATTTTGCCTGATTCCTTTCCTTATGGGTGATGGCATGGGTGATGACACCATTAAACATTTTGGCCAGGAGGGTCACTGAGGTTTCAGTGGGCTCTGTCTTCTCATTATCTTCCAGATCTCACGCCACTAGGATTTCTGTGAACCTCAGATTTCTCTTAAGTTAACTTCACACAGGATCAGCTGAATGGGGGTAGCAACTTTGCTTTTCAACTGCTCCCTGCTAAGATTCCCCTGGACCTCTCACTCCACCACACACCACTTCTGGTTGTTACTCCAGAGGGTGGGGAGGACAAGGAGAAAAGGAAATACAAAATAAAATAGGAGGCAAAGGCTAGTTAAAAATAACAGGTAAAACAGAAGAGAGATTTCATCTGGCTTAAATAACAGAAAGGTTAAGGAAGTGCTTCCATATGACTGGGTTTGGCTGAGAGTATCAGTACTCTCACGTCTGCAACGTGGCCAGGGCAGACATTTCAGCAGGGTGGGAGGCACAGGGGGAGCAGCTCAGGAATTTGGCTACAACAGTTACAGAGGACACAGACCTAGATCTTGCAGGAAACCAATGGAGGCAAACAGAGATGAGCTGAGAAGAGTTTGGCCATATATTTGCATCAAAGAAAAAAAAAACCCAACATTCTGGGCTCTGGAGAGCTGAAGTGAAACCGTAGCTTAAAACCTATAGCAGTGAATTTTGGCTGAATTATAGTAGCCACAGCGAAAACAGCTGAGAGACATCTGACTGTCACAGCAACGGGGCAGAGTTGCAGGGCACACGTCCAACACAGAGCACACAGGAGAGCGTAGGTGACCTGAGGCCGAGCACACAGGCTTCGCTGCCAGCAGAGACAAATAGGAGGTCAGAAGAAAGGACAGTTGGACAGGAAATGGCGTGAACTGGATGTTTGATCCAAGAGGAACTTTACCATCAACAAGACACTGAGCAGCTGGGAAGCCACATGTTTACAAGGCTTGCACAGGCTGCAAGGTCTGTTGCTGTTCCAGTATTTTGATAATTTGGTCTCTATTCAGGAAAGCATCGCTACAAGCATAAAGCAGGCGCTGAAGTCCTACCGGAGCCAAAGCCTAAAGTTAGCAATGTGTTAATGCACTCTCCAGAACCAAGGCCTAATGGTTTAGTTACTGTGCAGTTAGAATTCTGCTTAGTGAAAAACAAAGAAGCCAGAAAGTGCTTGCTAAGGTACCTAATATGTCACGTTACAAGTTATTATTATAGTGAACAGCAGAGTCTGGCATTTTTCCCTATCAATTCATGGCATACTCAAAATCTATTTACTAACTCAGCTGGAAACAAAGATTAATTTTTTAAGTTTCAAACATTTGCATTTAGAAAGGAAGCAGGAAACACTTCCTAATTATTAGTTTCAGAAAATAATTAATAGGCAAAAATTCTCATAACCAATTATTATTAGCATTTGGAGGCAGAGCAGAACCTTTTCTCCTATGTTAAGTTATTGTAGAGTATTCAACGTCTTTCCCCCCCATACTTTGCTTTTTCTTCTCTCTTTAAAAAAGGGGCTGAAATTGCCAGAGAGCCACAAGCCTAAGGAAAGCATTTTGTCTTCAATAGTAATAAATAGCCCTTAGAGGTAAAAATTCAGACTCAGTAAAAATTAACTTTTTGTTTGTTTGTTTTTTAAAGGACAGAAAGCTTTGGTTAAAGAAGGTCTTAAATCATTAACACTGGCACTATCAGCAGGGTAGAGTTGTTCTTCAAGGGAAGAGAGGATAAAGGCAAACGCACAGAAAACAGGGTCAGCATCAAAAAGAAAACCAAACCAGAACAAATCTTTGGGTGGTCTCTCTGTGGGTATGCCAAATTCAGCAGAACTTTATTCTAGCCTTAGGAAAGCTCGAGTGATGTTCAGTACTGCGGACAAAGCTGCTCCAGGGGCAGGTAACAGGGAACTCCAGGGACCTCCCCAGAAGACTTATCCCAACTGGAGTATCTCACTGCTAGGTATTGGTGTGGAATGGCCAGTACACGTGTGTCTCAAGCAAAGACATCAAATGCATCCATAATGGGGGGAAAAACGATAAAAATCGTTAATTTTCATATGTTAGCAAAATAAGGGTAACATGTGGCAAAACCTTAGGGTGTATGGGAATGCAGTTATATAAGATGTTTACAATCTCAGATTATTTTTGGTTTTAGGGCTGAATATACAAGTTCTCAAACACAAGCAGAAGAGATCCTTTCAAAGTCATCTTAATTTATTTAACAGGAAAACCACGGGAAATATTTCTGCTTTGTTTTACTTCTTAACAGTCGTGGAAGATTGTACTTAAAACTAGCTTTTGTTGTTGTTGTACTCTTTAAATTCAAATTAGATGATGCCTGAAACCAAATATTGCTGTATCTAGCTAGTACGAAATAGTAAGAAAGGAGAACTGACTAGCCTGTTTAATTTGTCTAGGTGAAGGAAACATGAAATACAGATCAGAAGTAACTTACATTCTTGAAATAAATTCTATTAAACATTTTGTTTGTATTATTTGAGGGATCATTGAAAAAATGTTTATTTAATAGGTACATTTTTAAATTTCCTTTTTTAGGCAATACTGGGCCAGATGAGAAGACCATCCCTTAATCCGATCCCTTTTCTCTGACACTGCCTGCCAGCCAGCCCCTAAGCAGGGAGAACGGGAATGGAGCAGGCATGGGGGGACACCTCCTAAGGCACAGCCAGCCAGCTTTCAACAGTCTGTGGTTTATGCATTTTTTGAGCCACAGTTTTTCTCTGTTTCATTTTGCTGCTTTGCTTCTACCACCAGCACAGTTTTCCTTTATTTCAAATTTCCTATAATTTACCTAAATATTCATTCAAAGGACTTGACCAAACTTAAAAGCTCTGCATATGCTTGCAGTACCTCCTTGTTAGGAGAAAAGGGGATGAGCTCAATTAAGCCTGAGGCACTGCATTACGTGAAACAGGATCCCTTTCATTTGAACAAGTTCTCTCCCACTCTCCTGTTCTATCAGTATCTCTTCTGACTCTGTAACAATTAGCAGCTCATAGGACACTGGAGGGCAGATGTAAGGCTGAAGGGTAAATGCTTTGCTGTGCTGCCTGTTACACAACCACTTCCAGTATCCTGCAAACACCTCTGGATGTCCCTCCACTTTCTTCTTCTCCGGGGGTGTGCATCTGTGTGGCTTCTGGACAACTTAAACCAGAGATGTTATTTCTATGCTTTCTCTGTTCATGAATGAGGTGGGCAACTCAAGAGTTAATCCCAACTGAAGGTTGACATCCCATGTGGGAAAAGACCCGAGCACAACCTGGGATTTCACTGCACTGTCATGCCTAGGGGGAAGACGACTTGATAAGACCATGATACACTGACCACCTGGCAAGGAGTAGAGCATAAGGGAGAGAGCTGGAAGCTTTTAAAGTTTTAATTGTATGTTGAGTTACCAGGTGGGAATGAACTCAGCACTACACTAACTGAAATGCCTGCTTTATTAATAAAGTGGCAGCTGTGTGTTTAAACTTTGTCCTTGCACCTGTTGTCAGTCACCTATGTGGGTGGAACAGACAAAAAAAGAATGTTTTTTCATGTTAGCAGGATTACATTCATCTTACTGACTCTATCAAACCCTATTTTCAAGGGCCAGCATTAATGCAATGAGATCTAACAAATATACTTACTAATATTACAGTTTATAAGGGGAGAAGGATTTTAATGTCAGCAAAGTTTTTGATAGTACCGAATAGACAAACATTACTTTACCTGAGACTGTGCATTGACATTGGCCCGATTTGTAACCAACACTTTGACTACTTCTGCTTGTCCAGCGAGGGATGCTATGTGCAATGCTGTGTTTCCTTTCTGAAATTAGAGGCAGTAGTATTTGAAAAGAGTACAAAACTTGAGCTTGAATACATGACACTGTATGTTCCACTTTAAAATATACCATTTCTTGCAATAAAATACTCTTTCTGGGTACTTCTAATGGGTAAGTTATTCTAAAAGATATGGACAGGAGCCAAGACATGAATCTACAGTTTGTTCAGTAAATCTCATCCCTAGTAACCTGTGACATTTACTATAATCTAAAAGATTTCTATTAAACAATTATTGAGACCACTTCACCAGTGGAAAATAGGCAATTACTGCTGCAGTAATATCAGTAATCAATTGGCTGACACTTTGTGCCCATGCCATCGGTGTGAACAAGGGGACAATTAGATAGGCCTGACTAACCTTTGTGGCCGCATCCACGCTGGCACCTCGCTGTATCAGTTCAGAGACAACTTCTACGTGCCCTTCTTTGGAAGCGAGATGGAGAGCATTCAACCCATTCTGATTAAAAGAAAAAAAAAAAAAAGAAAAGCAATGGAAAAGATTGGCAAAGTCTTTCTAGTGTAGCAAAAAACATATCAGGAGACAAATTATTATATCCCAGTGAGAGGACTGTTTCCAAAAAACTATTCTTAGGTAAAGTTTACAAGAACTAGATTACAAGGAAAGAGTATGAATTAAGTCAAGATATACTAGCTCTGGGGTCTCAAGTTCTGAGTGCTGTCCCATGACCTGATGTAATACAAATGGAATGAAAGTAAATGTGAAACAACACAACATTCTCCAAGTGGAAGTGAAATGATGTCTTGGTAAGGGGTAAAAATAAAAGTTTTAATTGGATAAAATACGTAAACACGGTTCATCAAAAACCACATAAGTTACCACTGACATGAAGTGCAAATATAAAGACAGATTTGAGAAACAGTGAGAAAGGTATTTATCCAGCAAATTTGATCAAAATATTCTTCAACCTGATTTGAAATGTTGATGTCCACTCCACTTTTTAAGTAGTCAAGAGCCTTTTCCAAGTTGCCAGCTCGAGCAGCTCTCAGGTAACTTGCATTTGTGTCAGACTACAAGAAAAAAAAAAGGGAAAGTCTCATTAGAAATTACAGCACAGTATAAAAATATATTCCCTTGGCAAAGGAGTTACTAATGATACAACGTATTGTACGTACATTTAACTAGACATGAAAGGATCCCAAACTGCCTTATCAAATATGGGTCAAATCCTGCCCTCCTTGCTTATGCAAACTCCCTCTGCTTTAAATAGGCTGTCCGCCTGACTAGGCAGTACAAGATTTGACTTCATACATAAACGTGAATTATGCAGCATCATCTAACACGCAAGGCTAGTAGCCAGGGACACATCTGGTACCCAGAATGGAAGACAAACATGGTGAGGCTCAGGGTAGGACTCCATGGAAACCACTCTGCTCTTTCCAAAAGTGTCACACCACCTTTAATGTCCAAGCTGAACATACCAGACCAGTACTGCGAGATCTCACATGACAGATTTAAAAAAAAACCAAAAATACTCAACATTGAAGGACTGGACTACCTGAATGTAAAAACATGGTTCTACAAATTAAGGCATTTAAAAATCTAATGTCTGATTACATTTTATTTTCTCCATCCTCCCTCTTATATGCACACTTTATTTACAATATCTGTTCACATTCAGTGAAGAAGCCAGAAATCCCTAGGTATGGTGCTATTATCTAAACTGCCTTTTTTTTTTTTTTTTTTTTGCTTTTTCTTTATTCAGATCTTGCTTTAAAGATAGCTGGGCAAATTTGCTTTATGATGACTTCAGCTTGAATATAAGGATGGCAGAAAGGATGGTTAAGTCATGAAAGAGATCACTGAAAGTAATTCCCATCCCCAGAGGGTTTTAACAACAAGTTATGCAAATATCTACCAAGGACGGTTTAGATAATGCTGATCCTGCCTTGGAGCAAGTGGAATGAACTGTGTTAGCTTTCAAGAGGGGCAAATCGTATAATCTTTGATTTTATCTGTGCCACAGCTTCCCCTGGCATCTTGGGCAGTCAACACATCTTTTGTACCCTCTTCTCCATTATTATAACAGGAATTGTCTTTTTTTTTCCCCTCAGTACCATTTCATCACAGGCTTACATCGCTACAACTTTAAGTGCTTTATGATCCTTAAGGTTCTAAAAGAGTACAACAATTACCTTTAGAGAAAAAATTACAGGCAGTAATTGCTGAGAGAAACATAAAACAACCTAGCACCAAAGCTCAGTTACTTATCCAGTACTCAAATTTTTTTTTTTCATTCCCCAGTTTCTGGATTTGCTATAGACTTTTCTCCTTTCCTATCAATGCAGCCACTGCAAACTGGATGTTCTGTGTAAACATTGCTTCAAGCCCATCTGAAGTCATGTTTGCATGCAGGATGAAGCAATCTTGGGCATAACAACAGCAAAATGAAAAGTGGGTAAGAAGTCTGCTTTCTTTGCACCAGACTTGTACTACAAGACTATTATCCTAGCACTTTCAATACAGCAAGCTCTCTCCTCCAAGGAGAGAACCATTACTTATGGACTCTTCATTTTCTCCTGAGTTTTGCGCACATGGCATTCCACTTTGTGATGGTAAGTTACCAGCTTACAACCTTCCCTGCTCTTAATCGTTCTTTTCCAAGCACGCCATGCTGATCATTACAGATCAACCTCTGTGATGTGCTTCCAACCAAATGGCCCCTAAATACCAGTGTTTAATTAGGCTCCATCAAAAACAAGGTGCTGCCACAAACTACACGGTCAGAACTGTAAAGACTATGGGGAAGAGGGGCTGCCTTGAGAGGTGCGGTAAAACACTTTCATTTGGAAGATCATCTGAACTGTGCAATGCAGATTATTCCAGGAGACAGGTCATTTTCTCAGTGCTTAGCAACAGCAGCCACTGGGGTAAAAAACAGGTCAGCATTTTATCAGCATTACCAAAGGTATGAGGGAGGACTTAATAGACCGGGAGCCCTTTTTGTCCCAGTCTAACGGCGTGGCGTGGCTGTTTGGCACAGTCAGCAGGAGGATGATAATTTACATCAGCTGTTTACAGCTGCTTCTGGGTGGGGAAGGGATGCACCAGAGAAGCTTGCTATGGAAAATCAGTTCCCACCAGTCACATTAATGCATGCCAGACAAGAAACACTGCTCACACAGAGAAATATTTAAACCTTTCTATTTGCTCAAACAGAATGGGGGAGGAGGAGTGATAAATAGATGATATTCACATGAATAGCTAACTGCTGTTTCACTGTAGAGGGAGAGCAATACCTATGTCTTTTAAGGACTTCTCTTGGGAGCACTTGCTTGCTAATGGGAGGAAGGACAAAGGTTAAGTCACACTTCCAGCCTGGGGATGTATAAAAATATTTCACATCAAGCTAGCTCAGGTGCTGCTAAGTGATGCACAAACCTATTCCTGAAATCCCTCAAGCAAACAGCGTGCCCTCCTTTGCCAGTCACCACTCAAACCTCACTCCTTTGCTCAAACTGTCCAGAAGCGTCACTGACACCAGCAGCCTGGTTGCCACCCGAGTGGCTGGGCTAGTGGGGTGCTGGGACTCCCGCTGCTCAGACAGGGACAGGCTTCCGGCACCACACAGAAAAAAGCAGCGCCAAGGTGCGCAGGGACTACAATGACAACAAAGAAGCACCAGGAGAAGCTGCCATTTAACAGCACGCCGAGGGTAACACAAACTCTCCCACACTTCAGCTGATCCGAGCTGGCACTTCCAGTGTCCACCTTACTGGTTTCCAGTTACTTCAATGTGATGTGAGCTAGCGTGTGAAACTGCATAAGCTGCCTCAGCGGCCAGGGTGCAACACATCCCCGTGCACCAAGAAAGAGGAAAACCTTTTTTTCTGACCTTGGCTAAAGCTACCAAGCCCTCAGGCTGGGTTAACTCACCTCAGTTGGTTAACTCACCCTTTCTGGGCCACCATGCACAGAAATTTTAAGATTTGCACAAACAGATAACAGACTGAGGTTGTACAATTGTGCAAAATGTTCCACGGGGCCTCTGGGATTCTCTCCACCCATAACAGTCTCTGCCATAAGCAGAAACAAGCAATAACATTAGAGAGAAAGGAGAGCCAACATCTTTGGAAATCAAAAGCAATTCCAGCCTCTCTAAAAGTAGCAATGCCAGCTGCCACTTATCCCTAGAACTAAAGCATTACCTTCAGACCTGCTCAGGTAGAGAATGGTCTTACCCAATTTTTCTACCTTGCAAAATGCCTTGAATACCCTTGTTTTTATGACATTGTACTTCCAAAACCCAGAAACACCAATGAATGTTATCCAACTTTTAGAAAAGCTAAGTGTAGGGGTCAGTAAACATTGATCAAAACCATCAAACCAAAGCTTTCATATTTCTGATTCTAAAATTCTCTCAACTTTACATTTCTATTTTAAGCCTAAATTCATTTTTTCAAAATACCACAATAGAGTAGAAAAATATCATTTCCAATTAGCACTATTTTGTTTAAAACAAAGGCTCTTTGAGTCCCTGATAGAGCCTGTAATTGCTTCCATATTGCACACACAAGAGCAACATCAGAGCCCAAGCTCAAATCGCTGAAGGATTTAAAAGATCAAACAAGTGTAACAATAATGTTAATAATTATTTATCTGGATTGCCATCGTGCCTGGGAGCCCATGTCACAGACTGATCAAGGACCTGTTATATCAAATGCATTAAAAAACACAGTAGGGGAAAAAAGGATTTTAGGTTTCCAATCATCACTCAGGACACTGGCACAGGTAAGTGCTCCCTCCATGGGTAACTATTCTTGATATACCCACTTCCACCCTCCATGCTAGCTGGTGTGCAAAAGACAGATTCCACACACACAACATGTCTACAGGACATTCCCTTAACAGACCTAATAAAAATTTTCTCCAATCCTAGTTACTTAAACCTCAATATTCCTGATAGAGGCATTGTGTATGCTGGCAATCTATTTAGATCCCTTTTTAAAAAAAAAAAAAAAAAAAATCAGTCCCAACATGAAACGAAGACGAAAATTGCCTTTTGATTCTCCACTGTCTTGACAAATATCAAGAGAACAACAGGCATGGGACATACATCAAAGCACTCTGAATCTTAGATGTTCTTGCACTCAGCCACAAAGATTGCAGCCCTTCCTGTGCGGTTGCACAGGATTCCTGTTGTCAGGCTGTGTCCCCAAAGCCTTTACATACTCCCTAAAAAAAAACTTTTCAACCTCTATACCCAGACTCAAATTAAAAATCAAGATTCTTACAAGTGTTTTAATTCTTGGAGAGACAGAACGCAGATCCTGTGCACAGCATTTTGTTCTGGAATGGCTATTCAGACAATATTTCATAAACAGGGGGTTTAAGAGAGTACCAGTACTGACGTGTGCATAATACCAAGCTTTTTCTTCACAGACGGCTTGACTTCTCCCCCCTCCCCCCGTACTTTCTTGGAAGAAAAAGGGACTATTTCTAGTTTTAAGAAATGCATAAATGCAGATGATTGGCTAATGAATGCAGTTTTTATGCAATGTGTATTTCTTTTAAATTTGTGTATTCCCCTTTATTGTACTACGCTATAAAAATTCAATTCTCTAATGTAAAGCAGGCTGATGAGCTTGCAAACTGCGGGCTGCTTGCAGCCCACAACAGATTTTCCAGTCTGGAGCTCACTTCTACAGCCTTCATCCCAGAGACATCTCTGGGAAGGGCTGAGGCTGTTGAAGCCATGCTGGCAGCAGTACTCCGTTTCCCAACCTTTCCTTGCCCTAAGGTCCTCTAGTCCTGCCACATGATGGATGGCAGAGTCTGTGATGTGCAGAGCTAAAACCTGAGAATCCTTTCCCCATTTTAAGGAAAAGCAACATGAGTTAAAAACATTTCTATTACAGGAAAGACTAACTCCTAAGTCACTTGGATATTATATCTTAAGCCTCCATTTTAAAACAGAAAACGCTGATGCTGACTCATGCTAGCAAATAAATATTCGCTGTCTTTTTCTCCAAGTGCTCCCAGTGAAGTAAGAGACTATTTAGCATGAGTA